TCCCCGAATTCATGGGCCGCTAAACTCCCATCTGCTGAGTTTGCTCACAATTCTCGGGTTCATTCTGTTCACCACATGACTCCATTTTCATTGATTCTGGGATACGACCCATCCCCCTATCCCAAAGTACAAACTACTGTGGTACCCTTGGTCGATGAAAGACTAGAAAGGCTGGCCTCGAACCACAATGTCGCCATTCTTGCTCACAGGAAAGCACAAGATCTGATGCATTTGTGCTCAAAAGGGTCCTACATTGCACCCAAGGTTGGGGATCAAATTCTCTTGGATACTGGGCATCTTTGTATCAAAAACCAGTGTGACAAAATTGTGCCCTGACACCTCAGACCTTTCAAGGTGACTCAGGTCATGTCTCCAGTCATGTTCCAATTGGAGCTACCAGAAACTTGGAAGGTTCATCCTGTGTTCCATGCCTCCTGGATCTTCCCTTTCACTGAAAATGACACTTATGGAGCTGCGCCTGCAGCCCCCCTGCTGGAGTTGGTTGATGATGAGATCAAGTGGGAAATCAAGTCAATAATCAATCACAAAACTGATGGTCGTAAGGGCAAAAGACACTATTTGGTCAAATGGAAAGGGTTCCTGCATTCGTCAAATACTTGGGAGCCTGAGGAACATATAAAAGACCACGCGTCAGAAGCCCTCAACCAGTATAAGCTCACTTGACACCTCAGATAAATGGATTCTCCTTGCTCAGTCAACACCAAAAACAACTATGCCAACCTCGACTACCCTGCAGAATCCTTTCACAACACCACAAATGACAGGCTCATTCCCCCCATCACCATCTATGTGCCATCCTCTCCCCCCCAGTGAGGACAGTAGCCAAAAGGAAAAAGGTACAGCACAGGTTGACAATGACTCTGGTAAACCAGGAGCCTCGACCAGTCCTGCCAATGCTCCCCAGCCTGCCCACCTACACACTGCTAGCTCCACCTATTCCGACAGAGCACACCACACTGCCCTCGACCTCCTTGCATCTGCCACCCTTGCCTGGCATGATGAGCAATGACTACCAATCTCAGCAAGTGATTACCTGGATGTTGTTAGGGCGCTTGATGTCTTCCACGATGGGGACAACATTGACAGGTGCTCACCAGAACAGGTTGAATATTTTAGGCTGTTGTCTGAAATTACAGAACAACAGACATAATTAATGTGGCAGTATCAAAGATCTGAACTCAAAAGTTGAGTGGAACCGCTCCCCTTTCAGAGGTGATAATGGTGGATATGCTCGAGCATGGGTCCTCAGATATTACCAAGGCCATTATGGGAGGTGCCTATCATCACTTACAAAACCAGCAGATAGGAGAGTTCCTTGCACCTCCAGTGTCTTGGATCCTTGATCACATCAAGCCAAAACAGGCTGAAACCCTGGCAATGAAAAACAAAGTTTCAGATCAGGAAAAGGAGAAGGAGTGGCATGCCATGGAACTCAAGTTCATGGACTCAAGCAAGTTGTTTAAAGAGGTTGGTGCTCATCTGGGAACTGGGACTCACAACTCTGCTTGGGAGGTCTTACTGCAGGATGTGACATGGGCTGGCTTGCACAAGAACTATCATAATGCCACCCACTCCACCGACCCTCTCCCTGTGGCTCCCTTCATCCCTGTCCCTGCAGATCAGCTGTGGTTCTACCTCGAAGGACAGTCCCCTGTCCCTGCCAACCATGTCCTTCATCAGCATGTGTGCTACCAGTGCCATTACCTGGGACATTGGTCTTGCTGCAATGGACATGGCTCCCATTATACTCCGGCCCTTGAGGAACTGCAGACTCCATCGCCATTGTCACCTATCGCCACATGAACTCATTCCCACATCTATACTACTCACAGACCCCTTGCTGCCCATGCTCCCAACTTGTCCACTCCCATGACCTTGTCCTCAAGGGTCTGAGGACCTTAGAGGGGGGGTGATGTTACACCTTGCTCAAGGGCCTTTCCTTTTTCGCCTCTTTGTGGTCACGTGTGTCATGTGCTTGGTTGCGTCGTTAATAACTGCCACCATCCTAGGGGCTCGCTTACTCGAGGAGCCTGATGTTCCTGTTGACAGGGTGTTTCCAATACCTGTTACTGCAGCGCCCCCTTCATGATCCAGTGTTCCACTGCCTTCTCTGATGGATGATTTGTTTCTTTCTTGTTCCATATGACTCACTCTTGTTGCTCATATGTTGTACTATAGCTCTGGTGTCTGGCTCCTTGCTGCGCATTGATTGCACCAGCCGGTATAGCCTTCATTGCCTCCCTGCTCCCATCATATGACACCATATGACTCCCTTCTGTTTATTTATTTGACTGATTGTATTGATGATTGCTGTGGATATGCATCACAACGTGTCGCGTCATGACTGGCATGGTACTTGTACTTAGAGATATATAAACCTACATACTTTACCATGTATCCTCAGTTTTTCGATAGCTTGCAACTCAGCTAACTTCCTTCTCTTTCATCCTTGTTCTCTCTCCGTGCGATCGGGTTGACTATTGCCAGAGGACAGAACCTTTGTTGGACCTCAGAGATAACTGAGCCATAGGGGTTATGACACATTCAGCCTGTAGACTCCCCCTCACACACTTTGTGCCTATTCCATTTGAAGAAGTCACCACACTTGGGCATAACAGGTTGAGTATGAGGTTGGAAGGGAGATGACCATGGCTATGGCAACAAGAGAGTCTTCAAGGGGCTGTCCAAGAGACTTTAGGATTGTTGCCTTCTGCCACATGGCATTAAGCTGTGTCTCCATTGAGATGTCATCTGCTAGGGTACTGCAAAATAGTTTGCCAATAAGGTAGGCTATTGTTTGTTTCCCTTTGCCTTCATAGTGCTTGCATAGCTTTTTCCAGACTTCTGCTGCCGTCATGGCATGCAGAACACCACTAAGTGGGTCATCCTTTAGAGTAAGTGTGATTTGAGCCCTTGCTTCTTTATCCTTGTAGTGCCAGTCTGCACATGCAACTGGATCAGCTGCTGCATCAGGTGCCTTCAACTTTCCTTCTACAAGCTCCCAAAGTCCATGGACATCTAGGATCATCATAATTCAGTACTTCCACATCTGGAAGTTCGAACCATTGTCTTCAAGGGACAGTATGTTATAGAGTCGACTGGAGGCTTGAGTAGCTTTACCCAAAGGTGTAGTAGAGGTTACTGTTGAGGCAGAGACTGGGACCTTTGAGGGACCAGAAGTGGATGCTGACAGACCAGACATAGTAGACACTTTGTACCAGACTTGACATGTTCAACTTTCCTAGGATTAGAACTTGCAAGCAGGGCTCATAACCTTTTGGAGGATGATGAGCTGCAGGATTGTCAAGTCTATAGAGAGGAATATACTCAGACTTCAAGTTGATTGAAGCTAAACAATCAACTACCTATAGAGAGGAATATACTCAGACTTCAAGTTGATTGAAGCTAAACAATTAACTACCTATAGAGAGGAATATACTGTAGGTAGGTAAGTAAGTGTTCCAATATAATGAATGGAAGGAGTCCCACCTCAGACTTCAAGTTGGTTGAAGCTGAGGTGCAGTAAGGAAAAAAAATAAACTGCTAAGTGTCCGCTTTTGGATTATGTAATGCTGTGCTCGGTGAACCACAACTAAGGTAAAAGTGATAAACTCCAACAGCCTTGTACATGTCCACACAGATATTATGCTTGTATATGTCACCAAACTAATTACAATCTCAGGATGACATAGTGAGCAGTGTCAAAACTGCTCAAGCCCAACTTGAGTGGCTTATCCAGTGGGTGGATGCTCACTGTTCCCCAACAAACATGTTTGGCACAACAAAACAAATGACACATACTTTGAGCTAATGCAAATCAGGATCAAATATTGGGCTGTGAATATTATAGGATTTATCATCTCCATCATGCAAGAACCATTTGACACATAAGATCTGTTTCCAGGTCTCGGGGAAATGTGATATGTCTGCCCCCCCAGTGTCTGCCCATTTCGTGGACAGCAATAAACTGAGGGTTCCAACATGTCCACCTCATGTGCTTGCTCAAGATCAGAGTAACATTGTCGGAGTCCAAGCACCTGGTCAGCCAGTGCCAAGCATGCCAACACTTCATCCACATCTGCCAATGGGCCCAGGGTTCAATCTGTACTATCTAGGACCTTATATGCACCTGCCATATGGTCTCCCACCTGGTAACGTGCCTTACCCAGCTCCTCCAGGCACTCCACTTCCTCAGGCCAGCACAGCTGCAATTCACTCCCACCCATCAGTGATGCTTTTGTCATGCACCACATCTACAACATCATTGTCACCTGGACATACAATGGCTCACAATGTTATGCTGTTGGAGTTTTGCACAAGGTACTGTATTTCTGATGCCAACCAAGAAAAGTTGGAGACATTGGAGTATTGTCCTGGAAACTGTGCAGTTGAGAAGCTTGATGAACACGAATGGCAGGTTGTTGGAAAGTTTTCCAGACTCAGTTGGGAGGTGTTCTTGGTGGCACATAGACAGTTCTGCAGGGCAATAAAGGCTGGGACTTGGTCATAAATTGCTCCTTCATTGACATCATGCATTTTGTGGCACAGACATTCATTTCTGTTCATAATTGAAGTACAGTGTATTGTGTACAATAGAGCATTAGTTGACAATGTACCCTGCATTCTTGAACCAGCCAAAAGCCTTTTCTGCTGTAATACAACTTGTTGCTTCCATCAATGCAAGTATGTGGTCTTCATGCTGATGTAGCTCAGCACCATGGCATCACAGGTAAGCTTTCACTACTGTTGAGTCAGCAGCATGGACTCTAAGAATATCTGCTGTCACATATGACAGCTGAATGATTCCTCAATCAGTGTGAGGTCAGGTGAATATGGAGGGAGAAACTTGATAATACACCCTGCCATGCAAAGGGAATTAGTTAGTACTAAAAAAATGCACAAGGACACACCAGATCCTTGAAGAAGTTCAACTAGGGCATCATTATGATGGATGTGGCAATTGTCAAGAATCAAACAGATCATTCAGCTGGGAATGGATTCATCTGTGGCAACTAAGCATAACTCACCTCATGCACTCACAAGATGATGTAGTAAATACATACCACTTCTTCTGCAATGAAATTGTAGAACTGTTCTGCATTGAAGGAGCCCTCAACAACATGTGCTGCAATGTACCCATCCACTGTCATTGCAGTGCATAGTGAGTATCTATCACCTCAAACAAACACATCCTTTAGCTGTGCATGGTGATTGCACAGTCCTCTTCCATAGTGCTGGGCAAATGTACACTTGTTCTTGCTCATTTCATCAACAACCACAAATTCTGACCCATCACCAATGAAATTTGTATGCAGGTAGTCCTGAAACTCTGCATGGCAAATTTCATCTTGTTCAAGTGCAATCTTTTGTAATACCTTGTGAGAAAGACCAGTATCATTGAGAGTGCGACACAGTGAAGAAAGACTGATGGATATGTCATGCCATATGGCCAACCAGGTGCATAGTTCATTGAGGTACAGATCAGGGTCCTTGGCAACAAGAGTTTTGATAGAAGTTAAGAGAACTCTGGTCACTGTTTGGGCACAACCCCTCAGTGGTGAATGTGGGCAAACAACAGAGCCATACTCCTCCAGAACTTCCCACCAGCAATAACAGCTACATGAAGAGATACCAAGAGCAAAGGAGATGTCCTTGAGGTCCCATCCAAGGTTCCAAAGGTGAAGGGCACACTCCTTGAGATCACTGCTGATATGGCGGTTGGGCATGGGTGACACAATGATTAGTCTCATTAGTGTTTGCATGCCAGCTTGGTACATTTCCTTATTGGGCAGAACTCATGATGCACTTACAAATATTTTGTGATTGACATTATTTTCACAAACTGCTGTAAACTGGCCACCATTGTTCCTTGACTAGGGTGTACTCAAGAAATAATGATGGTCAGTTTTGAAGAAGTTTGTGGGGTTGCAGAGGGGAACCCAGAGAGGAATCTGTAGGGAACCTCAGTAGTCTGTCAAGCTACTGAGGGACTAGGTAAATTTTGTATGGGTGCACTCTAACAGCTTATGTAAGTGACATGATCATGTGCCTAAGTCCAAGTAAGGACAGGGGTCATTTCACTCCAACAGGTTTAATGTCTTGGATGTTGCATTCGGTGTCGGAGAAAAATGAAACGTAGCCTACGTAGGGCTCTTCCTCGGTGTCGGAATTCATTGAATTTGGACCTGAGGCGAGTAAAAGGATAAGTTCTTCTTGCAGGGATGATATATTACAGCGTGATACACACTGGGTACCCAGACATGGAGAAGCGACTGCCCGCACTATGCCCCACAGTACCTGGAAGGTAAATTACATGTGCTACTGAACACATTCCACAGAGAGCATACTCAGCATCATAAAATACCGCCAGCTGCTCTGATGAAACGAGAAACGTCCCGCTGGAGTAGGGTGGGTGAGAGGTCAGAGGGATCTCGATTAAACGAGCGATGTCGAGGAGAGAAGACATTTCGAATTGTTATCCGCTCCCCACTTTATATACCCCTTGTTCACAGGGGTCGTTGTGCTCACTTCTGTTACATGCCTAAAAAATACGTAAATGAACGTCGAACGCTCTGACAACATTCATCTGGAATAAGATCAAGGCAGCAACCGAGTCGCTGAATGGCAGAACCCCTATGTTTGTAAAATATAATGTCGAAGTGTGACTCCGATAGAGTGCAGCGCATGCGCAGTTTATGTTAAGCTGATACCTCAGAATTATTGGTGGGCCGATGCATCACAAGTCATGCAAGATCGGTTTTGATGAGGTGAGTAAAACGAGCCCAGTGACTGGATCTAAGCAACGGTGTTGTCCTGCGCCGATCTGCAACGATTGTCCAGAGGGTACCAGTCACCAGCGATCACTAACAGAAAGGTTCGACTTTCGCTTGCAGTATGTCCTGGTAGTATTTCCTACCCGTTATATGAGCGAATACATACTCGATGACGACAACGACAACCATTATCCAAGAGAGTAGGAGCTTACTCCACCACTCAACGCTCCAATCGAGCATCGCCATCATAACACTGTGGGGTATCCTTGACACTGGGAATGATCCTAACACGTATCCCACTTGTCCGAAAGGCACGAACCCTTAAGGCCACCCTCCAAGCGCGGTACACGACCACATCACGACTTGATGCCATCTGCAACCCCGAAAAATCATGCACCGAGATCGCTTTACACGGCTTGTCGAACAAGGAGAGTCATTGTACGAGGTCTTGTTGAACTGATATGAATGTACCGATGTCATGGTTCACTTCCATGATGAAAAAAAAATGGCGAACGTGGTGGGGGCAGATGTAACACTGGATCAGGTGTATCGGATCGCAGGGGAAGTGTGTCGTCAGAGATGGTGCCTCCGCTTAAGACGCCGCATGTTTCCAGATAAAATGCTTATATGGCGATGTGGAGTATGCTATACATGAAACCGCAGTGGAGGCCGGAGAGAAGGACACGTTATGAATCACAAACACGACGTAGGACGCGTCCCAGAGGAAAGCGGAGATTCTTGGACCAGCCTCAGCCGATGCCGTGAACATTGGTTGCGAGGTCGAGTGCGTCAATGAGGATGGAAGAGATCTGACAGGTCGCCTGAGCGGGTATTCCAAAAACGATCAGTGAATTAGCGATCAAAGTGAAGGGGGCAAAGAATAGGATATGGATAGTGCAAAACCAACGTCCAGATATGCCTACTAAGGACTTCTACATGACAAGTCGACAATCATTACAGCGCAAAATGCCAGAAAGATGACGAGTTGGCGACGTGATAGTAAGAGACACACCAGTAGGACGTGCGCGAAGAGTGCACATGTGTCGAACGAGTATCGGTCGACGTCTCGAGGAGCGTCCAAAACATGGCTATGGCTAGCCTTCGTAGATGATCGATGAGACGATGGGTGTTCAGGTACCTGGCATCAGTGAAATTTGAAACCTCAAAGCAACTTTCAAGTTCTGCGGAGTATCCGAGCTCCCGCAAAACTATTGATAGTTCTTGGATGGGATCTAGATGCAAGTACTCAGGTATATGACAGACGTCATACAAAACCTCCTCATAAAGACACGTAAGAGACAATAGCACAAACCACCAACACTAATCAACACCCTCGCCCTCGGGACCTTGAGGGATCAATCAATTGGATGAGAATATTGTAAGGCCCTTTATTTTGAACAATCGGCGAAAATTTTCCAGCGCGTGGCACGCATAACTTATCACAGCTTAAGGTAGAAGCTAGGCCGTATAGTAATCACCTAGTTGACAAGGTCAACCCGACTAGAAATTCGTCTGGTCAATTTTCGTCATCCGCGAATTCACTTCCCGCAGCCTCCGATTCAAGTTCAATCGGGTATGGCTGACTGCCGTAAACTATCTAACTTCCTCCAGAAGTGTTCGCGGAGTAAAATACATACATACGTACAAATAAATTCTGCTGCCACACTGCCGAGTTTATGTGCGTGCCACAAACACCCCGCTTTCCTCGTGGATCCGTCCATATCTTCGTGTGTCTAAGGTAGGCAGAGTGTAAGATCTTCTCGACATCTCCTGCTTGTCCATCACTAACTTCCATGGCAACAGTGGTTCCGTCTCGCAATACATCTTTCTGTGCCAAAAATTGTGCAATCATATGGTAAAAAGACAAGCCATGAGTCTGACTTGGCGATCCAGCCCAATCGTCCAGCGAGGCACGTAAATCCTCATAATCCTTGACGGACAGGCGGAGCCGGAGATACTCTGGTTGCTGTGCATAGGGCGGATTCGCTGTCACGATATCAAATGGGGCTCCCAACTCTTTAAGGATATCGGTGTGATGGAGATCGCCAAGCACCGGGATGAATATATTGCGGAGGTTACCATCACCTGGGTGAGTAAGGATACCACACCGTAGCGCATTGTCTGTCGCTAACTCGATGCTTGCTCTGAAATGTCCACGCCGAATGCGCGGACGCTGCCTGGTGGCCAGAGATGACATAAAAGTAAGGGTATGCAGCCTGAACCATTACAGGGATCCAGCACCGAAAGTGGACGATTTCCCTTCGGAGAGATGGCGTTAGCGGGATGAAGGTTCCAGTCTTCGGTTTCTGGCCGGGTGGGAGGGCTTAGCGGCCCAAATGGGCAGTGCCTGGAAAATTTGAGATCTGGACGTGATGTCAGAGACCGTGTTGTGACAACTTATCCAAGATGTATTGGAGCGGCTCTCCTTGCAACCTCCATTCCAATATATTCTGGAATGTGGATGGTAAGTCCGAAAGTTTGAAGGACTCTCTCATCCGTTTCAACTCGAGCCTGGCACTTTCACGCCCAAGAAGGGTCGAAAGCTTCTTGAAAAGTTGGTTCACGCCCGGACTCTGCATCAGATGCAGTAAGTAGCGGACGGTGCATGGTATGTAGTGACCTGTTACCGTTCTGAAATCATGCGGATTCCTCACCCCCAACCACAGCCCTCACAGTCCAGGGCCCATATATGTGTAGGCTAAAAATAGTGAGGATTCATTAGGGTGTGTACGGCCCCAAACACGCAGCACGAACCAGACGAAGGAGAGGGCTTGTGTCGAGCGCGACTCCTCTTCATGAAAATGGGACCCTTCTCACAAAAATAGTGAGCGTTGACTGAATTGCATTCCTTTGGAAGCATTAATTACTAAAGGTGGAAGACGAACGTGTAATTTTCGAAAGGACACTATTGGCAAAATCCAGAGACAGGATCCATGTGTATTCGCCAAGCTATCCACCAGTTGCTATTGTACCCTTGGCATAGGGGTAAAAGTCGCAAACAGTGTGCTTGTGTCTCTCCGTGAAAAAAAAAAAAAAGAAGACTTCGAAGCCTGAGAGATACCTAGCCATGGCATGGTTAGTGGTCAACTTCCGTTCATCGTCGTCGTGAAAAGACCAGTTAGCTGCCACGCCGTGGAATGTCCGTCGAAGTCTGTTTCATAACAAGAAAGCTTTCTTGCTGCTGGCCTATCTTCATGGAGTGCAGAAAAAGAATGAACCTTTCTACGCGTACCAAAGGCACCAAAGCAGCAGAGATCATCCCACGACGACGACACTTCTAACTCAACCTTTGCCGGGGCTGAAGCACTGCAAAGTCTAATAGCACACCTAGTAACGTCTTACCATTGTGGTGCAAACCAACACAAAGGTTGGTACTTATGCAAACTGAAAACACGACTGATTTCGCAGCACTTCGAGGTGGTCTTTGAGAAGTCGAGCGCAGCTAGGTGAACTAGATGACACTAAAAAATCAGACTAGAAATACTACTAAATGTCCATTGCTTTTAGCCTCTTCGAGACACTGCAGGGCAAATCATCCGGCTCATGTAAATACGGGCTGCTCAGTCGTTCTACAGTCTCAGATTCGAAGGCCATCGCACGGTTAATTGTCGTTCAGTGGCACTGCAAAGCATTTGTTATAACTTGTGGTGAGGCGAAAAAAATAGCTCCCAACTTACACAGACTTGAATAGCTTGTCCATTGCAAGAATCAGCGTTAGTGTCCGGGCTGCAAGCATAGCTGTCAAGTGCATTAACATTTCAAATACATTCAAATGAAAAAAGGCCAACGCTTACTTGACATTATTGAGGTGCAAGCCGGTGAAGGTGGTCTTGGCAGAGTTGCAGTCGAACACGCCACCGCCGCACGGCATCTGCCCAGTCGCCTGGTGAACGACGTTGCAAGAGTTATCGTACACCTGCCCTGGAATCATGGTCTGCCAGTGAGCACGCGTGTAGCTTGATGCTGTTAACACTTACAAACGCCGTTGTTGCCATTTGCTTGGCCGCCAGTCTGGGCGATACCGAACTTGTACCCGGGACAAATGGCAGAAGCAGAAGCCACGAAGAGGACAGATGCGGCAACGATAGAAAGGAATGTTTTAGAGAACATGATTGTATAAGAGCTGTAAGAGCTGAGAGACCGCTTAAAAGTCAGGTGAGGTTGTTGTGTTAAAGATGTGGATTGGGGAGCTCTTTGGCTACGGAGGGCAGCCTTTTATACATTCTCTGAGTCTCGATCCTTCTAATCGAGGTATCTATCCGCGGGAACATGTGTACTGCGGTCGCAATGCAACATCTCGGGGACGGGTGCAGTACAGGCCCTCGATACGATCGGCCCCTATGATATTCATACTGGGGTGTGCAAATCATTCCATCAGACGTTCTTACCTTCTCAGCCCACGATCCAAAGGTCGATACGATAGTCAACCACCGCGTGGGGATACGATAGGTGATCCGTGCTGCGGCCAGCACAGATGCTATTCCACTTATTGCAGGAGAAACGATACACCGTGGAAAAACTATACGGACCAGGCACTTAAGTCTGCGCATTGAAAAATTTAAGTATCAAAAACCTACTGTAGTACCGTATACTTAGATAGAACCCACCAATAAGCACTCAAAAAAGGCGTGCACTTAACCTAGACTCGGATTTTCGAGCACAATCTGGTTAAGTTTGCAATATGGTGCCATGCGCATGGACATACGGTCTGAATTGATTACTGTTGCAGACGACAAAAATTACGGCGATTCCCTGTAGCAGTCCTCGGATGTCAATATTACGCTCTCGTGACTGCGCAGGATACCCTGACAAGTTCAACTTCGTTTGAGTTGGGAGTTTTTTCTTGCACTTTTTTTGTTGGTAGAAACGTCAGTACTGCGATCCGGACATGGTTGGCCGATACAAGAAGCGTCACCGGAGGTTGTCTTGATCCTGTCAGAATCTCTGTTACCAGGGTGGTCTGCTTGCACATTGCCCGAGGTCAACGTCAAACGTTGAAAGCCACCGATGAGCAACGCGTAAAATTGCTACTGCACAGGTTTAGACTCGGCAGCCATCTCTAGCAGTATGTTCAACTCGAGCCCGATTGCGAAGTGAACACAAATTCGTTTTTCATTTTTGTTCTGCTCGCTGAGGATGAGCCAGTACACACTACTAACCGCAGGCTAGCACGCTGCCCAGTGTCCTGAGGATTCGTCCAAACGAAGTCGGGCTCCGAGGCCCCACTTCAGAAATATTCCGACTGCTCTGATTCGGCATATTTTAAACTGAGCAGTTACCACAGTCAGGGTACGTTGTTTCCCCGTGGCGCGTATACCATTCTGGCAACGTAAGAGTAAGTAGTCTACGCGTTAATATGCAGCCAGTATGCTGTGCTTTGGCCGTACGCGTATTGTAGACGGCACCCACGAACGGAATATGCATTAGCTTGTTGATAACACGAGGTGGGTTGCCGACGTCTGAGTCACTACTCGTCAGCTGGTACGTCATATAGATAGAGAGAACAAGATACCTTGTGGAACCTGTGAAGGAGACATAGGTAGATGTGTGCATCACACTGACACATCTGTGCTGACCTCAAGTAGTCGACACGACGAAGGTAGTCGCTTGCGTGTCTTCACAATTTTCACGTGGTCATGAGCCTGTCTGTACAACAGGTATAAGGAGGGAAATATAAGACTGAAACGCACCCGACTAGCCCCCCCTCGTCGTCTACTACACGCAGTTTACTTCCTGCATGCTCGTGTTCTAAGGCATGAATGACCGTTTGAGAATGCCGCCTGAGGAGGCACTGCATATTATGGTCTTATTACCTACAGAAAGGCCAAGCCCTCTAGCAATGCGTCGTGGATGACATCTGTCGCGATGTCACGGAATTCGCCATGTCCAGTTTGCCACCTTTCCAGTACGATCCATCAAAAACATCTTGGTTTATGCCGAACGTCGCTGGTTAACACGCATCCTAGGTTTGTCCAATTCTCGTGGCGTACTGTTGGAGAGGTTTGACATGCCATTCGTCCGAGAAATTACACGCGCTGCTGAAGTGTTGCAGGGAACATATCCGGCAGTCCCTCTATCAGAAGCGTCAGCTGTTCTGAAGGAACAGTTGACGTGCCGCTGCAGTAGGGTGGGCGGGAGGTTAGAGAAGCCCCGACTGAACGAACGACATTGGAGATGGATGTCATTCTAAATCGTCAGTGAACTCCGTGGAGCACTCTCGACACGCCTCGCCTCGCTTTGGTGGGCTTTTCATCATAATAGGAACGACAAATGCCGTTACATTCACAGCATTCAATGTAATGAAAACATGCCAGGCTGAAGACGTTCAAGTCCCGAAATCTACGGATAGCAAACGCAGTGAGTGGGCATGATACTAGATTGAGCGCATCGGATCAGGGGGACAAGTGTGCCGTCAAAGATCGTGCTTCCGCTTAGGAAGATGAGTGTTTTGGGGGAAATACTTGTATGACAATGCGGAGTATGCGACATATGAAACTGTGGTAGAGGATGGCAGAGCGACCATATACTATGTCCGTAGGGGAGAAGTAGGGAGTGTGATGGGGGGAGAGCGAATGCCCTTGGACTAGTCCCAGCCAACGCTGAGAACATGCGTCGCGGGGTCGAGTGCATCGATGAGGAGGAAGAAGGCCTGACAGGTCACTTGAAACCTCAAATCCAAACATCGGCGGCGAATCGGCATTCAGAGTACTTGAAGAAGGCGGAGAATAGGGCGTACATGCCCCAAACTCAACATTTGAATACGTCAGTTGAGAATTCCTACCTGAAAATGCGATGGACATTGCAGTGCGAAATGCAGGGGAGACGATAGGCGACCATAAGGCGGTACCCAATGTACGCATGTCAGGGAGGATGACTAGGTTAGCGACAAAAGTAAGAGAGATACACCGACGAGACGGGCACGAAGAGTGCGTGCGTGTCGAACAAGGTGGCTTAAAAGTTGAGTGTTAACGCATTACCGCACGATAATTACGTAACGAGTCTGAGGGTTGCAAAGCCTAGGCTACTACTCTAGGATGCTATGTATATGTAGTACAAATGGAAGGAGTAGTCACTGAGATCCTCGTCGTCCATGCATGGCAATATATGAGTATGAACAGATCTCCAACTCCGTTTCAGGTATCAAGTAAGGGGTGTTGTCACGAGCACTCCAGAGGCTCCGTCTCCGTTTCAATGTAACAAACGAGCCAAGAAAAAGAAAAACGACTGATAAAGGACGAAAGGCTGACACACGTCAAAGGATTTCCAAGACTGCTGCCAGAATGTTCTTGGAAGTGATGTTGGTCCCGAGACCCGAGACGACAATCTCGTTCTCTGCAGCAACCCTCTTGTACTCTCCATTCGGCTGTTGCACGAGAAGTAGAGCGTTGAACGGTTGTCCGAGGCGAGCAATCATCTGTAGTGCTCGAGTATAGTCATCTACCTGAGGCATAGTAATAGGGACAACGTGTGATGGCGAAGGCGGCCCAACCACATCCGATTCAGCGTCGTGATAAACCGAGCCAGAGTCAGTATCCGAGTCAGAGTCATCTCTCCATGCAAACCCACTACTCGGACCTCGAATATGGCGGATCCACGGATGCGCTAAGACGATTTTCCATGGCATGTTCAACGAGAGATCGTCTGCGGTCGTGAACTCTACTTGGCCGAGCCCCGATACCCTAGCATGATATAACTGATCATTGCCTCTGCGTGGCTTCTCGAGACTTTTCACAGAGAAGACGGTGCACGGAAGGTATAGACGTCGGGCTGCAAAACGGGCAGGGGGAAGACGGCTGATCTTATTATATATTCTCTGCGCTTCTTGCTGGGGCAACTTGTCGCGTAATTCTTTGATGCACCTTTCCATTTCTTCCCCGTCGAGTGATGGAGGGTTGTATGGAGTTTGGTTGTAGACGGAAACGGAAGCTGGGAGACAGCTGTTGTATGATGATGACTTCCCTGACCATGCGAGCACGGAGACCTCGCCGGAGCGGGCAACAATCTCCTCCAAGAGATGTCCGAGAGCGTCGGGTCCTTCGCCATAGCGAGGGTTAATATCTGACTTGAATATGCCGATGAGAGAGTACGCGACGTCTTCCTCGACCGTCGCATTGCGCGTCGAGGCCAGACGAAGTTTTTCCCGGACCCCGAGATCGTCTGGAGAGAACGAGACGATATGTCCACGGAAAATCTTGATAGCGTCTGCTAGTTCTTGCATGATCTCCGGAGATTCCTTGTGGTTCGCACTAGTATCACCGAGGTATAATTTAAATTTGGAATCATAGAAAAGAATGACTTTTGGAGAGAGAAGCTCCTGTAAAGTCCATGCTCGAGTCATCCATAAGCTATGCAAAAGGTCCCCGGGCTTGGACGGATGCGCTACGCCGGCAAGGTATACGAGCGTGGCTGCCGAATTCGCATACCATTTGTACATAGATGTAAGGGATTGGTTGAGGATGGAGCTCATGGACTTGTCGATACAACAAGTATCTGACCATGCCCAATTATAACCAAGTCTGCGTGTCTCCTTGCAGAAATTTCGCAACTTCTCATTCAGGGGCATGTCAGGGAGTTTCCACACAGATTTGACTATGTTGACATCCTGGAATGACGGCTCGCTCCCCTCCCATGCGTGAGAGAACATCACATATCCAAAAAACCTTGCAACCACTCGTAGAATCCGCTCGTCGTCCACTTCTGTCGTCATAGATGAAACAAACTCTTTGAATAATGGATGTGCCTTGAAAGTACGGATTCGCTCAGGGCCGTCACAAAGGCAACCAGTGATGACATCAATGACGATGAGAGGGCAGTTTCTAAGGATCCTGCGGACAACAGAATCAATAGCTGCAATCGTCTCTGACGGAGAAATGTAGTTCTTGCGCAGTTCTATGAAATCGTCAATTGTGGTAACAAATTCATACAGGAGGTACATACGCCTGATAAGAGGATCATGGGATTGTTCAATTACGTGCAGCATAGACTTGAAAGCATCGATCGCCTCGTCATACCGTTTTGCACCATGCAGTGTTGCGTGTTTGACCTCATACCCCAAAGGGCTGGAGGGATCCGCTTTCACGGCCTAATGGTCATTGTAGGGAACCGACTCACACAAGAAGAATACCATTCATACCTCGTTCGCATCCTGTAGTGCATCCTCCCACAAACCTCTTGCCGCTCGAGTTCTACTCCGCATGATAAACAAACTTGTGGGACTTGGAGGCAACGCAGCAGGGTACTGTGTTATTGCATCTTCGTGTTTCGCAGATCCCAAAGCTTTGTTGCCAACAAACTCAGGTGTTAAAACGTATCTCTTGGTGAAATCTGATGATGGACATGAACGTGCAACGTCAACCTGACTAACACCTATAACACATACCTGTGACCCAATCTGCAGTTTCCTTGCTCGCCTGAATCTCCTCGTCAGATGTCCTGACGATATTGAGGAGGATCTCCAAAGCTTCGGCCATACGTCCTGCAGCATAGAGCGTTTCACATAGACGTTGCTGGGCAGTAAGGTCCAACCCATTGAAACTCCACCCAAATATCTTCGTATAGGGTCAGATTAAAGGGTAGTAAGAGCACAAGACCTACGAGCGAGATCGTCACCAGTGGAGGACATTGTTTGTTCATGGGGGCTAGGTTCTGCGCACGCTCGATCAATGGTATTGCTCGTCCGTAATTTCCGCTCTTCATGTACATAATTCCAAGGATCTGCGGAATGGATCGGCAACGATACTTTTACGCTCACATCATGTAGAGCACGTGCCTGGGTGTAAATGTAGGCGGCACCGTCGTCATCGTAGTTGTTGTTCGCTCTCGCAGTAAGGTACCCTACCCGCACAATCGCCTCTTCTTGATTTCCAGATTCGAACACAAGAATCGACTGATTGGGACATAGATTAATGGTGACAACCATCCATCTCGATCACCTCACATACCTTCAGTAGTAAAAGCAATCTGTTGTCATGCAATGCACAATCATGGGTGGCAAAGTCGAATGTCCATAGCGCACCCTCTCGATCCCCCTGGGCAAGTAGAACGACCGCCATCGCAATATGGCCGATCGGCGACGGCCGAACCCGGAGGGACTTGAGATGCATGTGTGAGCAAACATGTGCATGCAGTAGAGAAAAAGCAGACCGACCTCCTCAGCGTCCTCTATCGCAAGAGTCAAATGTCTCAAACGTGCTCTTACAAGAGCTCTGTTTGCTAGCACACAATGGCTAGGACTTGAAGCACCCGCAACCTCCTCCGACAGTAACACTTCAGTGTTCATCAGGTCGTCCTGTGTCCATGATGTGAGGGTCTCGTGGCTTAATTGCATGAGTGGGAGCTGGGAAGCATGGAGTTGCAGACGGATTAAAGCGTACAGAAGGCACGAGAACAGCATGACGATTGTTAGTGATTTGAGTTTCATGAGAGGATGTGCACTTACACCACCATCGAAATACTTATAGGGAAGGACTTCTCTGAGATTATGAACTGTGATGTTCCTGCCATTTCCACATGCGAGATAGCCCCCGCTTGGTGAGAGGGCAACGCATTTGACCTCTGCAGCGTGTGTGATAATGCTACTAATCTGTTTGTGGGACACACGATCCCATAGTGAAACCGATAAGCCTGCCGCGCATGCAATGAATCTGCCGTTGGATGCTATATGGACTGCAGATTGGTTTTCATGAATTGACCATTCCGAAGACGAAAACTTGGAAAGGTCGAAATAGATAATTTTGCCCTTGCTTGCGACGAACAGCGTCTGGCCATCGGGCGACCAGGCCAACGGAGCGACTGGCCATGCACCAGTTGAACCCATTTTACCTGAATCGAATAAGATACTGCCATCGTGAGTGTTGTAGACACGGAAACCGTAAATCCACGAGGCGGTAGCAAATCGACTCCCATCTGGGGAAAACTTGACAGCAGTAACGCCATCGTGTGGAAGGAGAGGGAGAGCACAGGTATTAGACGTGAGGCTGAATATCAGGACAGTATTAGTACTCGTAGACGCAATTTTAGTACCGTCGCCCGAGATATCGACTCCGTGTACCCAGTAAGGATTTTCTGCGAACTCGCGCACTTTTTCGTGAGTGGCCGCGTTCCAGACGATCGTCTTCCATCCTCGGTCGCCGGACACAATCCACTGGCCATCCTGGGAGACGACAACAGATTCAATATGGCCACTCCCTTGCATGGCTGGACCCCGTTGCTGCCCATCTTCAATCTGCCATCGACGAATGTCACCGTTGGTATTTCCTCCTATGACCTGACTTTCGCCCGCGAAGTTGACTGCCCATACATCACTCTGAGATACAATGTCGATCTGTTTCACATCTTGACCACCCCAGCAAACTATCAGTAGGGCTGCCTCAGCCTCTGCGACTACTGGTACGCACCCATCACCATCGCTAGCAAGCCCATCAACGCAGCTAGTTGCCTTGGAGTTTAGAGGGGATAGGAACGATACGATGGCAATGCAGAGGTTAATACTCGCGGTACCTGATATGTGATCTGCACGCTGGGCAGTGCAGGTCTTATGTAGTAATGATCCCTGAGCGCTGAGCGCTGAGCTCTGCCAGATCCGGTGTTTTCGTCTGCACAAAGTATGTAAAGGACTACTGGGTCGTACAGTTCTAAGTAAACGAGCCACCACTGAAAAATCCGACTAGCAATACTACTAATGTCCGCTGCTTTTAGCCTCCTTGGCACACTGCAGGGAAAAATGTCCGGCCGGTGTAAATACGGGCTGCTCAGACATTCTACAGTCTCAGATTCGAATGCCATCGCACGGTTAATTGCTGTTCAGTGGCACTACAAAGCATTTGTTATAACTTGTGGTAAGGGAAAATATAGTTCCCAACTTACACAGACTTGAATAGCTTGGCCATTGCAAGAATCAGCGTTAGTGTCCGGGCTGCAAGCATAACTGTCAAGTGCATTAACATTTCAAATACATCCAAATGAAAAAAGGCCAACACTTACTTGACATTATTGAGATGTAAGCCGGTGAAGGTGGTCTTGGCAGAGTTGCAGTCGAACACGCCACCACCGCACGGCATCTGCCCAGTCGCCTGGTGAACGACGTTGCAAGAGTTATCGTACACCTGCCCTGGATTCATGGTCTGCCAGTGAGCACGCGTGTAGCTTGATGCTGTTAACACTTACAAACGCCGTTGTTGCCGTTCATTTGGCCGCCAGCCTGAGCGATACCGAACTTGTACCCGGGACAGATGGCAGACACAGAAGCCACAAAGAGGACCGATGCAGCGACGGCAGAGAAGAATGTTTTGGTGAACATTGTAGTTTAAGAACTGAGAGACGGCTTTGAGGATAGAGGTGAGATTAGGCTGGCGATGTGGATTGGGGAACTCTTTGGCTATGGGGGGCAACCTTTTATGCATTTGCTGAGTCTCGATCCTTCCAATCGAGGTATGCGTTCCGCGGAGACAAGTGTGCTGCGGTCGCAATGCAACATCTCGGAACGGGTGCAGTGCAGGCCTTCGATACGATCGGCCCCTGTCACATCCACACTGAGGTATGCAAATCATTCCATCAGAGGTTCTTACCTTCTCAGCCCATGATCCGGAGATTGATACGGTAGTCAACCAATGCGTGGGGGCATGACAGGTGATATGTGCTGCGGCCAACACAGAAGACACAACATCTATTGCAGGAGAAATGATATACCGGGAAAAAAACTGTCCGAAGCAGGCACTCAAGACTGCGCATTGAAAAATCCAAAAATCCAAAACCTACTTCATTACCGTGTGCTTGGACAGATGCCGCCAACGAGAACCAAGGAAAAAAGGTGCGTACCCGAACCAAACCTAGATTTCCTGCAGAAGTCCCCAGACGCCAATACGCTGTCGCGACTGCGCAGGATACCCTGAAAAGTTCAACTCAGTTCGAGTCGGGCGCCTTTTTTGCATATTTTTTTGCTGGTAGATACGCCAGTACTGCATCCGGACATGGTTGGCCGACGCAGGAAGCCTCGCTGGAGGTTGTCTTAATTATACCAGAAACTCTGTTACCAGGGCAGTCTATTCACATATGGTGAATGCCACCGCTGAGCAAGGTGTGAGATCGCCACCGGTGAAGAAACAACTCAGTGGTGAAACGGACAAATTTGGACTTTGTAGACATCTCTGGCAGTACGTTCAATTCGAATTCGTTCGATGACGATGAACCAGTACACGCTACTAGCCACGGGCCGACACGCTGCACAGTGTCTTGAGGATCGGTCCAGATTAAGTCGTACTCCAAGACTCCGCTTCAGATATAAACCGGCTACACTGGTTTAGCGTGTTTTGAGATGGGCAGTTGCCGCAGTCAGGGTATGTCTTTTCCCTGTGGCGCATACACCATTCTGGAAACGCAAGAGTGAGCTGTCCACGTAGTGATATGCAGTTGGTGTGTCGCGTTTCGGCCGTGAACTTATTGCAGATGGCACTGGCATCTGCGAAATATACATTAGTTTGCTGTCGATGTACATAATAACATGGACTGGGGTACCGGCATCTGAATGGCTACTGGTCGGTCAATATGTCGTATGGGTGAAGAGAACAAGGTACCTCGAGGAACTCGTGAACCAGACATAGGTAGGTATATGTAATTCCACCTTGATACGTCGTTCCTCATCTCCGCGCCCTGTCGATGCATCATGCGAGACCGAAGTAATGAACATCAAGCGAAAGGTCGCGAAATTCCCAATGTCCACTTTTCGGGTATGCTGGTGCGATTTGTCATGTATGCCATCTCTATTCACGCCGAACGTCACTGATTCGCAGGCAGTAAATCAGATATGCTACGGAAAGTAGCATCGAGGACAACGCACTCGGCTTCTATCACCCCATCACAAAGAAGCGTCAGGTAATATGGTGCTACTGTAGGGTGGGCGAGAGGTTGGAGGGGCCTCCATTAAATGAAGGGGCAGGGGAGGTGTTCTAAATTGTCAGTGAACTTCACGGAATAATCTCTTGCATACTTAACTCTTATTCTTCCATTCAGGACATGGTGTCGCAGAAATCCCCGGATTATAGTACGTTGGCGACTGACTCACCTGCTGGCGGGCAACAGAACCCTTGTGTTCGCACGAAATAGTGGAGAACGTGATCTTGCATAGAAGAACACTGTACCACGACCATCCATCCGAATGATTCGTTTTGCGCTGTGCTCACGTTCTCATACCTAACAAGAGACACAATGATGGATCGTGGGGAATGTTGGGAATGGTCATCCTTTGGTGGTTATTAGCACGTCCCGAAACCAAGCAAATGTCGTACATACCGTGTCCGACAAAGGAAGTGCTACGATGCACACACCCTTAACCGTCTAACCAAACAGTGCCCCACGATTCCCTTTGCCGAGGCTACAACAGTAAATAAGTTCAGGACGCAAACAGCCCCGCTTTCGCAATCCCGTCCACTCCACCATCATATTCCCCCATATCAACAATCAGGCCATCGCCCACATACTCCAATCCACCCATCCACCCTCCTACCCATCATCTGTACGAACATAGCTCGAGCTTCATCGAGTCATACCTGCATCGACTGTGCAGATTGCTATAATAGGCTGATCGGGTGAATCGCGCTGACAAGATCAGCTTCTGTGATCATGGCATGCGGCAGTTGGAGCTCCAGACTTCACGATTGTGCACGAGGGCATCATAGTCAGCAGAGTATAACAAGTCACCGAAGGAATTTTGCTTACTTCTTCCGCCTGGAGTACCTAAATACCGGCAACCCATTACGCGGGTCAAATCCGGTCACTTGGACGACGCCATCTATAAAGTATCTCCATAGTCCATCATGGGTCGCTGACACAGGCTGGTAGAACTTCCCCGGTTGAAGGTCCCACTGATGGGAACGCACCAGTCGAACACCAGGATGAAAACGGGACGCATACCGCTTGAAGCACTTGTCCATGTGTCTGTGGTTCCGTCATGTCAAGAAACTCGATGAGGTCGTTGGTTGCAACAACAAATGTCTCGGTATCGTCGAAGTTGAGGGATCTGCCTATGAGGCATTCCGTACATATATAGCAAGGGTTGTGGATAACTACGTTCGGTCCAAGACCTCGCCTGAGGTAGTACCGTAGCGAATGTACCGCTACAAACGCCTGAAAGGACCTTCAGATTTGGCCAAACACGCTGGGCCCATCCAGGACTAGAAAGAGGAGGTCCAATGTCCTGAAGTTCATCTGCCCACTGTGGGTCTGCCTGCATGTTAAGCTGGTATAGTTAGATTCCATCAATATGCAGTACCACTCTAATTACTCACCTGCAGGTAAGGCCGGACGTGGCCTATCTGTTCGAAATCTGGGATGGCCCTATTTTGAATGCTCGAGATAAGTGTGGACCACTCCTCTTCGATGCGGTGTACCATGTCCATGACAAGTACTACAAGTATCGCAGTGATCCCCTCCAGGGATGTATTTGCCAAAGCAAATAGTGCATGGATCAGCAAGAAAGACCGATGGTGGGTGATAAGTCCTGTGGCCCACGGAGCTGTGTTGCCTGGAACTGTGCAAGGGATATCCTGTGTAAGTGATCACAATCAAAAAAATTTGAACGATTTGTCCACTTACTCATAGATGCCATGCGAGTGTCATCCGTTTCGATGGACCAATTGTACTGTGTGCGTATTATCCCGGTCGACTCGTTGCAAACTGGAATCCTCGCCACGACTTCTCCAGAAGAGAAGTCGAGATGAACGTGGTTATATAGTAGGTATCTCCACAAGTCTACAGCTCCTTCTTTGACTAGTGCACTGTCGTCACTAATACACGTGAACTGATATCCGCATTGGTTGTCATTACACAGTCTGTCGGGTTTGATAGACTCGTGGGTCATACCCTGAGCTGAAGGCTCGTTCGGGCGAATACAGTTTTTCGTGCGGTAATGCGGCTCGCATCGTGTAACCGTAGAAATTGACCGGGCTGTATGGGTCAATGCTGATGGATCCTTTGATTAACGCAAGCTTCCTTCGGTGCCCAGAGGGCTTTTGCAAAAAGTTGTGTATCGGTTATCCGGCACGGCCCGAAGCGAAGAACGCCGCAGGGACCGTCTGCTTGGTCGTCTTTGTAGCCACGCATCTCGACTCACACGACGCGGGATACTAAATCAACAAAGGACTCCAGGCTGGCTACCCTTCACTTTATCTTCCATTTGGGCGTCGCGGCAGAGCGACTGGAGCTGTTCTTAACTCTGGAAGAGAGCATCCCATTCTAATGTCTTCAACCCTCTTCGCACTTCTGTCCGTGAATTACCTCTCGACTTCACCACAGTAGCCCAGATTACGATGACCCGGCGTCCGAGTTCAAGGGTGACATCTTCCGCCTCCGTCGATCCGGCACGTGGGATATACACACACATCTACCCACTTCCCGTACGCTGAAGCATGACATCGAGGAGGGCACCTGGCTTCGTTTGGACGTGTAGTCAGGCTGGTGATGACTCGTCTTTGACATGACCGCCCACCTACGCGAGCTTTCCGCGTCTTATATCCACGAAAATCTTGTATTGGAGACCACCACGTGAACGATACCTGTTCTCGCTGGGATACCACACGACTCGGACCCGAGATTTTCATAGGAAGGCGAGGTTCAGGAGTGATGCGGGTTTGAGTGTGGACAATATCTGGGTGGTGTCTTGGTCTGGGGTGGTTGTACAAAGATGGATGTGCTCACCCACTGCCATGACACTCGAAGTCATTGCACTTAAGGAGTACGAAGATAACATCCCTGCTCAAAGTTCAGCGAGTCGAGGCGGCTTTCCGAGGAAGGGAAGAATATCCGGTCAGCCTCTCTGAGCCAAACAGCATGGTGACGTGCTCAAACTTTCCTTCCAGCCTGACGAGCTACACACGAAACATATAACCAGGTGTCAGATCCCCATTAGCACTGGCGCTCAAGTATGGTCCTCGCAACCGGTACGCTACATGATTTCTAGTTTAGTCTGACATACGGTCTGTCAATAATCTATGTCCTAATGGGCGCCTCGTCGACGCCGGAGAGACACCTGGCCCTTGCCACGGCTAGTGGGTGACTTCCGTTTATCATCGTCGCAAAAGGACCTGTTGGCTGCTACGGCATGGACGGAACCTCGAAGTCTCTGCTTCATAGCGAGAACATTTTCTTCTCGCATGGCCAACCCTCATGGGGCAAAAGGTCTACCAAGTAGAGAGGTCAACCTAATAGGTTGACACCGACCTTCAGACGAACACACTAGCGTACGATTCAATCTTTGCCGGGGCCGAAGTGCCGCAATGTCTAGCGCATCAGTAACGTCGTGCCATTGTGGTATAAGCTATCACACACGTCGTTGCTCGCCAAAAATACAATTGGCTCACAAATCTTTCACAGCACTTCGAGGTGGTTATTAAAAAGTGGAATGCAGTTCTAAGTGAACGAGACACCACTGAGAATCTGACTAGAAATACTACTAATGTCCATTGCTCCTAGCCTCCTCCACACACTGCAGGGAAAGTTGTCCGCTCGTGTAAATACGAGCTGCTCAGACATTCAACAGTCTCAGATTCGAAGGCCGTCGCACGGTTAACTGTCGTTCAGTGGCACTACAAAGCATTTGTTATAACTTGTGATGAGACGAAAAAATAGCTCCCGACTTACACAGACTTGAATAGCTTGGCCATTGCAAGAATCAGCGTTAGTGCCGGGGCTGCAAGCATAACTGTCAAGTGCATTAACATTTCAAATACATTCAATTGAAAAAGGCTAACACTTACTTGACGCCATCGAGGTGTAAGCCGGTGAAGGTGGTCTTGGCAGAGTTGCAGTCGAACACGCCACCACCGCACGGCATCTGCCCAGTCGCCTGGTGAACGACGTTGCAAGAGTTATCGTACACCTGCCCTGGAGTCATGGTCTGCCAGTGAGCACGCGTGTAGCTTGATGCTGTTAACACTTACAAACGCCGTTGTTGCCGTTCATTTGGCCGCCAGCCTGAGCGATACCGAATTTGTACCCAGGACAGATGGCAGACACAGAAGCCGCAAAGAGGACCGATGCAGCGACGACAGAGAAGAATGTTTTGGTGAACATTGTAGTTTAAGGGCTGAGAGACGGCTTTAAAGATAGAGCTGAGATTATTAGGCTGGAGATGTGGATTGGGGAACTCTTTGGCTATGGGGGGCAGCCTTTTATACATTCTCTGAGTCTCGATCCTTCCAATCGAGGTATGCGTTCCGCGGAGACGTGTGTGCTGCGGTCGCAATGCAGCGTCTCGGAGACGGGTGTAATACAGGCCGTCAATGCGACCGGCCCCTGTCACATCCACATAGGGGTATGCAAATCATTCCATCAGAGGTTCTTACCTTCTCCGCTCATGATCCGGACGTTGATAGGGTAGTCAACCACGGCATCGGGATATGACAGGTGATATGTGCTGCGGCCAACACAGAAGACACAACATCTATTGCAGGAGAAATGATATACCCCGGGAAAAACTGTCCGGAGCAGGCACTTAAGACTGCGCACTGAAAACTCCAAATATCCGAAACATACTTCATTACCGTGTGCCTGGACAGAAGTTGTGAACGAGAACAAAAAAAAATGGTACGTACCCAAACCAAACCCAGATTTTCAAGAACAGCCTGGCCAAGTTTGAATTTGATGACTGTATAATTTGCAAACGACTCAACGTGGTGAAAATTAGGGCGATTTCCTGCAGAAGAGTTTACTGATGCCAATGCGCTGCCGCAACTGCACGGGATGCCCTTGAGAAGTTCAACCCAGTTCGAGTCGGATGCCTTTTTTTGCATATTTTTTTGCTGGTAGAAACGCCAGTACTGTCATCCGGACATGGTTGGCCGACGCAGGAAGCCTCAATGAAGGCTTTCTGCATTGTGTCAGAGTCTCGGTTACCAGGGCGGTCTACTCACATATTACGATAAACGTCGAATGCCACTACTAAGCAAGGTGTGAGATTGGTAGTGGTGAAGAACCAACTTGGCGATGAAACGCACAAATTTGGACTTTGTAGACGTTTCTGGCAGTAGGTTCAATTCCAATCCGTTCGATGAGGATGAACTAGTACATGCTACTAGCCACAGACCGATACGCTGCAGTGTCTTGTGGATTAGTCCAAATCAAGTTGTTCTTTGCGACCCCGCTTCAGATATAAGCCAACTACACATGTTTCGGAATACTTGTCATCGCGTTCTTTAGGTGCCAGGGAAGGATTGGAATACCCTGCTCCCAGCCTAGGCGGTAAAGAACACCCTGTTGAAGTCGATGCAGGCAAGCGTCTCGGTTCCAGCGACCTCCCCTTCAGGTGGTAAAAACTGGGCCATTATGTCGAACAGCAAATTTGTCATGAACAATATTTGGGTGGCAGGTAACGTCGTCGGCTATGAGGGCAATGCAAGGAATTTGGGAGGCACGTTCGAGTATTTCAAAGGTATGTATTTTTTCTTCCGTTGATGGTGGTCAAATGTACACAGGGGTATTTTGATGAGTGGCCTTGAGATGGTCCGCGTCGATGCGTTTCCAGGTAGTGCGAGCACACCTGCTTCGTCCCGTGATGGGCGTCCTCTTGCGATTGTCCGCCACGTGCAGGACGAGCTCTTGCGCTCAAGTAGGATCAACTAGCCATGCTCCTTGAAGTCGGTAAGCTGCATGATATCTGGTTTGGTCCAGCATACGATCTATCCATAATTTATGTCCCAATGGGCGCGTCGTCGACGCCTGAGAGACAACTTTTCCATGGTACGGTTAGTAGGCAACTTCCGTTTATCATCGTCGCGAATCGACCTGTTAGCTGCTACGGCGGGGAAGGAACAGCGAAGTCTGTGCTTCATAGCGAGAACAGTTTCTTGTCGCATCACCTATCCTCATGGCCCAAACGAGTGAACCTCTCTACATGTACCAAGTGGAGAGATCAACGACACTGATCTTCAGACGAACACACTAGTGTATGATTCAATCTTTGTCGGGGCCGAAGTGCCGCAATGTCTAGCACGTTCAGTAACGTCGTACTATCGTGGTGCAAGCTATCACACACGTCGTTGCTCGCTAAAAATACGATTGGCTCGCAGATCTTTCGCAACACTTCGAGGTGGTTATTAAAAAGTGGAGTACAGTTCTAGGTAAACGAGACGCCACTGAAGAATCTGACCAGAGATACTACTAATGTCCATTGCTCCTAGCCTCCTTGACACACTGCAGGGAAAGTTGTCCGCTCGTGTAAATACGGGTTGCTCAGACATTCTACAGTCTTGGTTTCGAAGGCCATCGCACGGTTAATTGTCGTTTAGTGGCACTACAAAGCATTTGTTATAACTTGTGGTAAGGCGAAAAAAATAGCTCCCGACTTACACAGACTTGAATAGCTTGGCCATTGCAAGAATCAGCGTTAGCGTCGGGGCTGCAGGCATAGCTGTCAAGTGCATTAACATTTCAAATACATCCAAATGAAAAAAGGCCATCACTTACTTGACATTATTGAGGTGTAAGCCGGTGAAAGTAGTCTTGGCAGAGTTGCAGTCGAACACGCCACCACCGCACGGCATCTGTCCAGTCGCCTGGTGAACGACTTTGCAAGAGTTATCGTACACCTGCCCTGGAATCACGGTCTGCCAGTGAGCACCCGTATAGCTTGGTGCTGTTAACACTTACAAACGCCGTTGTTGCCGTTCGTTTGGCCGCCAGCCTGAGCGATACCGAACTTGTACCCGGGACAGATGGCAGACGCGGAAGCCGCAAAGAGGACCGATGCAGCGACGGCGGGGAAGAATGTTTTGGTGAACATTGTAGTTTAAGAACTGAGAGACGGGTTTAAAGATAGAGGTGAGATTGTTGGGCTGGAGATGTGGATCAGGGATCCCTTTGGCTATGGGGCCCAGCCTTTTATGCATTTTCTGAGTCTTGATCCTTCCAATCGAGGTATCCCTTCCGCGGAGACGAGTGTACTGCGGTCGCAATATAACATCTCGGGGACGGGTGCAGTACAGGCCTTCGATACGATCGGCCCCTGTCACATCCACAGTGGGGTATGCAAATCATTCTATCAGACGTTCTTACCTTCTCAGCCCACGATCCGGAGGTTGACATGGTAGTCAGCCAATGCGTGGGGATATGACAGGTGATATGTGCTGCGGCCAACACAGAAGACACAACATCTATTGCAGGAGAAACGATGTGCCGGGGGAAAACTGTCCGAAGCAGGCACTTAAGTCTGCGCATCGAAAAATCCAAATATCCGAAACATACTTCATTACCGTGTATCTGGATGGAAGCCACCATCAAGGACCAAAAAAGGGGACCCACCCAATCCAGGCCCAGATTGTCAAGAACAACCTGGTGGAGCATGGAATACTGTTTCATACGAACGGGCGTGCCGTTCCAATTGATTACTATTGTAAAACGACTCGACGCGATAAAATTTAAGGCTGTTCCCTGTGGAAGTCACCGGATGCCAATATGCTCCGGCGACTGCGCAGGATACCCTGAGAAGTTCAAGTCAGCTTGAGTCGGGCGTTGTTTCTTATATATTTATTTGCTGGTAGAGCCATCCGGACACCGTTGGCTGACGCAGGAGGTTGCCTGGCTTTGTCAGAATCTGGCGGCCTACTCGGATATTGCCACAAATTGAATCCCACCGCTGGGTATCAATGCTGAGAAAGGCATGAAATCGTTACTGGTGAAGAACCGCTCTGGCAGTGGAACGCACAAATTCGGACTCTGTAGGCATCCCTGCATGGGTTGAACTCGAACCCGTTCGATGAGGATGAACCAGAACAGACTACTAACCACAGGCCGGTACACTGCCCGGCACTAATGCCTTGAGGATTTGGTTCAAATTAAGTCGGACTCCGAGGCCCCAGTGACTGCAGGTATATGCCGATTGTACTGATTCAACATATTTGGGCTGAGTAGTTACCGCAGTCAAGGTACGTCGTTGGCCCGCAGCGCTTATACCGTTCTGGCAATGCAAGAGTGAGTGGTCTACATGTTAATATGTAGTTGGCATGCTGTGTTTTTACCGTGCGCATATTGCAGAAAGCCACGTCAGGAATATGCATTAGCTTGATAACCATGTAATGACAAGAACTGGGCTGCCATCATCTGGATCACAACTTTTCAGTCATAATAGATGCAGAGTACGAGATACCTTATGGAACCCGTGAACAGGAAGGTAGGTATATGTACCAATCATACTTTGACTCATTTGCGTCGACCTCAAGCAGTGAGCACGATAAAAGAAGTCACTCTTGCGGCGCACTGTTGGAGAGGTCTGCCTTGGCGGTGATCCGGCAAGTTACAGGCGCGACCAATGTGGCATTGCGGAGAATTATACACGGCGGTCCCTCTATTGGCATCATAAGAAGTGTCAGATTCTCTGAAGGAACAGTTATCGTGGAGAAGAAGACTTGACCCCTATTCCTTCAAATTAGGAGAATTACACATTGGGGGCATGATGCCATGAAAATGAACCCCGGTATAAAGGGGAGACCGGATCATCCTAGGTGGCAGTTAGCGGCCAACTCACCCCATAATCAGCTCTTGCAACAGGACCCCGGTGTTTGCACACAATAGTGGAACATGACCTTGCATAGGAGAACACTATACGACCATCCATCTGAACAATTCGTTCTGCGCTGTACTCAAGTTCCCATCTCGGACGTGAGATGCAACGTTTGGCGGTGGGGAATATTGGAAACAATCATCCTTTCGCGTCTATTAGCACGTTTCAAAACCAGGTGGATGTCGTACCATGTCCGCCATGAAAGGCCGCACTACGATGCACGCGCCCTCAGCCACCTATCCAACGCTGTAACATAGTGGTCCACGATCCACTTTACTGGAGCTGCAGTAACAAATGGGTCCCAGCACGCAAATAGACCCACTCTTGCAAACCCGTCCACTATCGTATTCCCCCATACTAACAACCAGGCCATCGTCCACACTCTCCCAATCCACCCACCCACTCTCCTGCCTGTCACCTGCATGAACATACGCTCGACGATGATACCAAGAGCCATCATTCCGAATGAGAGGAGCATGGTCCACCGTTCAGCGCTCTGACTGAGCGGGGCTAACATAACATTGTGAAGTACCCCCGACGCTAGGAACGATCCCACGACGTATCCGACACGTCCGAATACGAACCCTAAAGGCCGCCCTCCGAGCACGATGAATGTTCGTCTCACAAGTTGATGCCATCTGTAACCCCAAAAATCATGCAGCGAGGTCGCTTTCCACGGTGCGTCGAAGATGGGGGGCCATTGTGCGGGGTCTTGTTGGAATACCGCGACACCAATGAATGTACCCATGTCGTAGTGCGTCTGTATGTCCGCATAGAAAAGAAATGCAGCGACGATAGATATGATACTGGATCGGGCATATCGGATCATGGGGGGAAGTGTGTCGTCAAAGATTGTGCCTCCGCTCAAGACGGTGAGTGTTTCTGGGGAAAATGCTTGTATGGCGATGTGGAGTACGCCGCATATGAAACTATGATAGAGAGCGGAGAGGAGAGTGTATATTGCGAAGCGTAGGCGAGAGGTGGGGCGCGTGTCGGGAGGAAAGCGGATGCCCTTGGACCAGTTCCAGCCGACTCCACGAACATTGACCGTGAGATCGATCGCATCGACGACGAAGGAGGCGGCAGGTCTGACGGGTCGCTTGAGTGGGCCATTCACGAACGCCCAATCGAGTGTGCGGACGACAACGCAAAACATGACCATCTACCCAGGATAGAATATCAATTCCAAAGACGAACAGCAAACCGGTGATCAGAGTACTTGAAGGGGCCGGAGAATGAGACACAATTACCACACAGCCGACATTCAAATACGACCATTGAGGATTTCCACATGAAAAGTCGACGAACATCGCAACGCGAAGTGCAAGAAAGGCGATGAGCGGCCACAGGGCCATACGCAGCACGCGGGTGCCAGGGAGAATGGCCAGGACAGCGACGATTTGGTAAAAAAGACATGGTGGTAAGACATACGCGAAGAACGTGTAGATGTCGAATGGCACTCTCGCTGATGTGGGCGGGACACGTACTAGAATGTCGGTCCAAAGCGCCTCGAGGAGTGTCGAGGGCACGGCCAAAGCCATCGTTCGGTTGTCCAGGTCGTCGATGAAGATGAAACGGTGATAGTTCGGGTCTCTGCCGTCACCACACCTTACAGCGGTTTCGGGAAACGTTTGTCGACAGAGAAAAACCCCGAAATTGCTGCCACTTCCTTGTTCTGCAGCACGCATCTCAGAAATGAAATATCTTGTGAACCAGAACAGCTAGTGCCCTACTATTCCTTCAGGTTTGGACACCCCCGATTCGATTTCAGGGCACCATGGCAAGACACCCAACATTCACTGTTCCGTTCTCATGCTCAAAAATTTCCCTCTCATGGACGACGCGATCACATTTGCTCATGCAAGAGCACCTTTCTCAAGTCGAAGTCCAAATGAGTGAGGATATCATATTGTGCTGGAGAGCAGCAAATTGTTCCCGCAATGAGGACTATGGTGTTCTTCGCTGTAGCTTATATTTACATCTTTTGATACAGGTCAGGTACTCCCCAACAGCTTCCCTGCACACTGCATCACCTGCCATGGACACCTCGTCGATGACAGTCGTAGCAGCCCGGGTGTGATGATGACATGGCGGTAGCTACAACCTCAACCACAATATGTCCATATCATCATCATCCTAGCCCACACCGAGTTGTTGGTGTCGTCTCTGCCCCGCTGCCACTGGTTCCCCTGCAATTCCCATGGGAGTGTATTGTACCAAAAGTAAATGTAATCATGAAAATACCTCTGTGCACTCGGACACTACTCACTGTACTTATCTATCCGAGATGGAACTTGAGAAATGTGTCTCCGAGCATTCTTTTGCATTTGTCCACCGTGTGTGGGACGAGGAAGTTGTTGCGCTCAAGTAGGGTTTCTCGACTAGCCATGTTCTATTCAGGGACCCCTAAGCCGGTAAGCTGCATAACATCTGGTGTGGTCTGACATACAATCACCCATTAATTCATGTCCCAATGGACACCTTGTCGGCGCCTAAGAGGTACCTATCTCGTGACCCGGTCGGTGGGCGACATCTGTTTATCATCGTCGCAAAATGACCTATTGGCTGTTGCAGCCTGGACGGAATATCGAAGGTTCGGTTTTATAGTGAGAACATTTTCTTGCCTTATGGCCTATTCTTCATAGGGAGAAGGAGTGGACCTCTATACACGTACCAAGTAGAGAGATCAACCCAATGGGTCGACACTGATATTCAGACGAACATATGACTATCTTTGCTGGAGCCAAAGTGCCGCAACGACTAGCACGTTCAGTAACGTCGTACCGATGTGGTACAAGCTATCACACTCGTCGTTGCTCGCCCAAAATACGACTGGCTCGCAGATCTTTCGCAACACTTCGAGGTGATTATTAAAAAGTGGAGTGCAGTTCTAGGTAAACAAGACGCCACTGAAAAATTTGACTAGAAATACTACTAACGTCCATTGCTCCTAGCCTCCTTGACACACTGCAGGGAAAGTAGTCCAGCTCGTGTAAACACGGGCTGCTCAGACATTCTACAGTCTCGGATTCGAAGGCCGTCGCATGGTTAATTGCCGTTCAGTGGCACTACAAAGCATTTGTTTTAACTTGTGGTGAGGCGAAAAAAATAGCTCCCGACTTACACAGACTTGAATAGCTTGGCCATTGCAAGAATCAGCGTTCGTGTCGGGGCTGCAAGCATAGCTGTCAAGTGCGTTAACATTTCAAATACATTCAATTGAAAAAGGCCAACGCTTACTTGGCACCATTGAGGTGTAAGCCGGTGAAGGTGGTCTTGGCAGAGTTGCAGTCGAACACGCCACCACCGCACGGCATCTGCCCAGTCGCCTGGTGAACGACGTTGCAAGAGTTATCGTACACCTGCCCTGGAATCATGGTCTGCCAGTGAGCACGCGTGCAGCTTGATGCTTTTAACACTTACAAACGCCGTTGTTGCCGTTCGTTTGGCCTCCAGCCTGAACGATACCGAACTTGTACCCGGGACAGATGGCAGACGCAGAAGCCGCAAAGAGGACCGATGCAGCGACGACCGAGAAGAACGTTTTGGCGAACATTGTAGTTTAAGAACTGAGAGACGGTTTTAAAGATAGAGCTGAGGTTATTGGGCTGGCGATGTGGATTGGGGAACTCTTTGGCTATGGGGGGCAGCCTTTTATACATTCTCTGAGTCTCGGTCCTTCCAATCGAGGCACCCCTTCCGCGGAGACAAGTGTACTGCGGTCGCAATATAACATCTCGGGGACGGGTGTAATACAGGCCCTCGCTGCGACCGGCCCCTGTCACATCCACACTGAGGTATGCAAATCATTCCATCAGACATTCTTACCTTCTCAGCGCACGATCCGGAGGTTGATACGGTAGTCAACCACCGCGTGGGGACATGACAGGTGATATGTGCTGCGGCCAACACAGAAGACACAACATCTATTGCAGGAGAAACGATGTACCGGGGAAAAACTGTACGAAGTAGGCACTTGAGTCTCCGCATCGAAAAATCCAAATATACAAAACCTACTTCATTACCGTGTACCTGGATGGAAGCCGTCAACAAGGACCAAAAAGGGGATCCCCCCAATCCAGGCCCAGATTTTCAAGAACGAGCTGGTCGAGCATGGGATACCGTTTCATACGCACGGCTGTGCCGTCCGAATTGATTACTATTGAGAAACGACTCGACGTGATAAAATTTAAGGCTGTTCCCTGTGGAAGTCCCCGGATGCCAATATGCTCCGGCGACTGCGCAGGATACCCTGAGAAGTTCAAGTCAGCTTGAGTCGGGCGTTTTTTTCTTACATGTTCATTTGCTGGTAGAGTCATCCGGACACCGTTGGCCGACGCAGGAGGTTGCCTTGGTTCTGTCAGAGTCTCTGTTACCGGTGTGGTCTACTCACATATTGCGACAAACGTCAAATGCCATCGCTGAGGATCAATGCTGAGCAAGGAGTGAGATTGCTACTGGTGAAGAACCAGTCTGGCGGTGAATCGCACGAATTTGGGCTCTGCAGACATCTCTGACATCAAACCCGTTCGATGGGGATGAACCAGTACACGCTACTAACCGCAGGCCGGCACGCTGCCCGGCACTAGTGTCTTGATGATTTGGTTCGAATCGAGTCGGACTCCGAGGCCCTACTTCAGGTATATGCCGATTGTACTGATTCAACGTATTTGGGCCGAGCAGTTACCGCAGTCAAGGCACGTCGTTGGCCCGCATCGCTTATACCGTTCTGGCAATGCAAGAGTGAGTGCTCTACGTGCTAATATGTAGTTGGTATGTTGTATTTTGACTGTGCGCATAATGCAGACAGCCACGTGCGGAATATGCATTAGTTCGACAATCATGTAATGACATGAACCGGGTTGCCATCATCTGCGTCACAACTTTCCAGTCAACACATCATAATGGATGCAGAGAACAAGATACCTTGTGGAACCCGTGAAAAAGAAGGTAGGTATATGTACAAATTATACCCTGACACATTTATGCCGAGCTCAAGCAGTGGGCATGATGAAAGAAGCTTGTCCGGCAAGTCACGCGCGCAACTAAAGGGCATTGCAGAGAATATACCCCGGGGGTCCTTCTATCAGCATCTTAAGGAAGCGTCAGTTGCTCTGGAGGAACAGGTGTAGTAGCGTGAGCGAGAGGTTAGAGAAGAAAGACTTGACCCCTATTCCTTCAAAGCAGGAGATTTGCAAATTCGGGACATGATGTCATGGAGATGAGGCCCAGTATAATGGGCAAACCCCGATTATTCTTGGTGGCAGTTAGCGGCCAACTCACCCGATAGCTTGCACAAAATAGTAGAACACGATCTTGCATAAGAGAACATTGCTTTACGAACATCCATGTGAGCAATTCGTTCTGCACTGTGCTTAAGTTCTCATACCAAAGGAGAGACGTTGCGATTGATGGTAGGGGATATTGGGAACTTTCATCTTTTCGTGTCCATTAGCATATTTCGAGACCAAGCGGATATCGTACCATGTCCTACACAGGCCGCGCTACGATGCACACGCCCTGAACCACCTATCCAACGCTGTAACGTAGTGCTCCACGATCCACCTTGCCGGGGCTGCAGTAATAAATGGGTCCCAAGACGCAAACAGACCTGCTCTTGCAAACCCGTCCACTATCATATTCCCCCATACCAACAACCAGGCCATCGTCCACACTCTCCCAATCCACCCACCCACTTTCCTACCCGTCATCTGCGTGAACGTATGCTCGATGATGATACCAAGAGCCATCATTCCGAATGAGAGAAGCATGGTCCACCAGTTAACGCTCTGATTGAGCGTGGCTAATACAAGGTGGTGAAGTACCCCCGACGCTAGGAACGATCCCACTACGTATCCGACACGTCCGAATACGAACCCTAAAGGCCGCCCTCCGAGCACGATGAATGTTCGTCTCACAAGTTGATGCCATCTGTAACCCCAAAAATCATGCAGCGAGGTCGCTTTCCACGGTGCGTCGAATAGTGGGGGCCATTGTGCGGGGTCTTGTTGGAGTACCGTGACACCAATGAATGTACCCATGTCGTAGCGCCCTTGAATGTCCGCATAGATAACGAATGCAGCGACGGTGGATATGATACTGGATCGGGCGTATCGGATCATGGGGGGAAGTGTGTCGTCAAAGATTGTGCCTCCGCTCAAGACGGTGAGTGTTTCTGGGGAAAATGCTTGTATGGCGATGTGGAGTACGCCGCATATGAAACTATGATAGAGAGCGGAGAGGAGAGTGTATATTGCGAAGCGCAGGCGAGAGGTGGGGCGCGTGTCGGGAGGAAAGCGGATGCCCTTGGACCAGTTCCAGCCGACTCCACGAACATTGACCGTGAGATCAATCGCATCGACGACGAACGAGGGGGCAGGTCTGACGGGTCGCTTGAGTGGGCCATTCACGAACGCCCAATCGAGTGTGCGGACGACGATGCAAAACATGACCATCTTCCCAGGATAGAATATCAATTCCAAAGATGAGCAGCAAATTGGTGATCAGAGTACTTGAAGGGGTCGGAGAATGAGACACAAATACCACACAGCCGACATTCAAACACGACCATTGAGGATTTCCACGTGAAAAATCGACGAACATCGCAACGCGAAGCGCAAGAAAGACGATGAGCGGCCACAGGGCGATACGCAGCATGCGTGTGCCAGGGAGAATGACTAGGACAGCGACAAGTTGGTAAAAAAGACATAGTGGTAAGACATCCGCGAAGAACGTGTATGTGTCGAATGGCACTCTCGCTGATGTGGGCGGGACACGTAGAATGTCGGTCAAAGGCGCCTCGAAGAGTGTCGAGGGTACAGCCAAAGCCATCGTTCGGTTGCCCAGGTCGTCGATGATGATGAGACGGTGATAGTTCGGGTCCCTGCCGTCACCAAAACCTAAAAGCAGTTTTCAAGTGTTGCAGATCAGTATCCGAACTTCCAAGTTACTATAAACCGCTCAGGGATAATCCATCGTCACGGCCGCACAAACTGTCCGATAGGCAACGGCGCATCCATGCGCTGGAATACGGCAGCAGTTGGACTCCGTCATAGTAGCGGACACAAGACAGGTATGTATGACAGATACAAAATCTCCTCGTAAATGTAAGTGAGCGCTGACTGTACATAATTGCGTTTCCTTGAAGGCGACCGTGTAATTTCCGGCAGCTCAAAGCAGCACAAGCCAAAAAGCAAGACAACTCCAATCACCAGGCAAGAACTTGAGCTGAGCCTGTAGATGACATGGACTGGTCACCTGTCCCATGTGGTAGGGCTGGATGCTGCTAACACTGGGCTCCATCGAGAAAGATAAGATGTGTACCTGTGCATCAGGAAATTAACACTTTACTATTTTTGACTTGTTGTGACTAATGTGACTTTTTGGGAAGGAATCCACTATCATCACCCATGTCCTGCAGGCATGGCTGCACTTTTCTTGCTGATTTTGGTCTTGTTCAAACCACCTAATTCATAGCTTTCAGTAGATAACACATACATTCAAATTGATGGAGGTTCCAAAGAGATATTGTGGTTTTTCTCTCAGACAGTGTGTATCACACCAATGGCTCAATATCTCTGAATTTTCAGACATTTTCTAGTCTTCTTGGCTTAGATATATCATCACTTAGCTGTCTCAATAGATTCTGTTCTCTTTTCATTCTTCAAAATGCTGTATATGGTCAAAAAAAAAGTACAGATAGTAGGTTCCTTCCCAAAAAGTCACAAATAGTCACAATAGTCACAAAAAAGTCAAAAAAAGTCACAAAAAGGTCAAAAATAGTAAAGTGTTAATTTCCTGATGTGACTGATGGTAGAGAGAACCCCCATGCTCATTGCTGAAGGTTATTGGGCAACTAATGTGTATCATCATTGCAAAATCAATGACCCACTGATAACTTATGGTGTTGTGGAAGGGCAAACTCTGTTTCACAGCTGGAGCACTTGCTTGTTGCATGGCTTGTCAATATGGGGCACCCTGCACCATTGTACAATGAACAATGATTGCACACAGCAGTGCTAGTATTGTCCATTGTCCATTGATTTTAGCCTCTACTTGGTATGCTGTGGAGAAGGTTGCCTACATCATGTGACTAAGTACCATGCAGTCCATAATTGGAGCACTTTTACATGGTTAATTGCCATTGTGCCACTACAAAGCATTTGTTATAACTTGTGGAAAGGGAGAAGATAGTTTCCAACTTACACAGACTTGAATAGCTTGGCCATTGCTGGAATCAGGTTGGTATCAGGTTTGCAAGCATAGCTACCAAGTGCATTAATATTTCAAATGCAACTGATTGAGAAAGACCAATAATTACTTGACACCATTAAGATGTAGGCTGATGTCAATGTTATGCCCGAGTGCAGTGACTTCTTCAAATGGAATAGGCACGAAGTGAGCAAGGGGGAGTCTACAGGCCGAACTTGTCGTAACCCCTATGGCTCAGTTATCTCGAAGATCCAACGGAGGTTCCATTCTGCTGGCAAGTCCCTAAGGTTGTTCGTGTGGAGAGAGAGAACAAGGTTCAATGAGAAGGAAATTAGCTGAGTTGCA